TGATGGGAAAACAATGTATTTATTTTTTCTTGTGTTTGGTTCACATGGGAAAAAAAAGGAAAAACTCTTGTTGATATTACATTTCCCACTTTTCTTGTGTTTGGTTGGTTTTGAAGTTTGTAGTAAAAAATGTTTATGGTTACCATGGTAAGATTACCCCCACTATATACAACTTTATTTGTGCTTGTTATATGATGTAATCTTAATCATATAAAAGTTCGAATATAACATGAACAAATAATAATATCTCCAATGAATTATAAATTTCTGCTTGTATTAATGAAATCATACTAAACCTGAAATAATATGAATCAATTGCAATGAATTACATACTTGATTTGACCTGAAATATACATGTTTCAGATTGAAAAAATCACATGAAACCTGTACTAACGTGAATATTCACAAATTTATGAAGTTGCGTGAATTATCCAAAAAAACTCTTGAAACATATAAAAACATATAAACAACCTGAATAGCCATAAATATGTATATAACCTCTTAAATCGCACAAAATCATGCTTGAAAATAATTCCACAACACAAAACCAAGCTCCACATACGATCAGAACTGCACGAATAGAACTATGAAAACTAATAATATTATGAACTATTAGAATCCTTTATACAAGATTTTATCTGCATACAAAATTTTAAAATTAGCTACCGACTACTGATACAAGACCGATATAACTTTAGGTAATTTGAGGTTTGACATGAACTTCACTACTTGACCAGGATCTTCACCACTCGACCAGGTAGCACGACTATGGCGTGATGTGCTCTCCCCTCTCTCTTGGAGCACCTGACACATAAAATAGACATAAACATGCAAACAAGGAGCTAATATAAAGACCAATAAGGGTAACTGAAAAGATCATATGAACAGACATAAACTTGAATCAATTCATCAAAGTTTTTCCTTTAAATTTGTTTAACTTTCTCGAACTAAAACTAAGTATAGACAAATGTATAATGCACAACAATATAACAGTAATCTTTTACCAAATGTACATAAAACCTCACAGTTGCGTAATTTGAGAAAGATGACAAACCTCAGTCATTTGTCTGTGTTCGCAGAGCACTGCTCCTGTCGATAAAGGATCTATAATCTGCTTGGCCTTAGAAAATGCAACCTGCAATATATTGTAACAAGTTTCTTACAGGTGATGAGCCTAAACGTGAAACAAAATAACCAAACTGATCACAAAACCAGCAAACCCACAACAGCCACAAAATGGCTCACAACCAGTCACAAAATGGCCACACAAAACCTGATGTGGAGCACAACCAGCCACAAACTGAACATGCGGCTACACAACCAGCCACAAACTGAATATGCGGCTACACAACCAGCCACAAAATGGTTAACACAAAACCTGATGTGGAGCACAACACTTACACAACATGGCTCACAACCAGTCTACAAAACTAGCAAACTAACCAGGCTCACAACCAACATACACAAAATAACCAAACTGATCACAAAACCAGCAAACCCACAACAGCTCGCTCGCTCGACAATTCTTTTAAACCGAACTAGTTATGCTGTTAAATGCATTTTCCTATATCTGTACAGTGCAATTGGAAGAGGTGATGCATTTAAACCTGTTCCCAAACTGAACACAAAACAAATAAAACCCACAACAGCAAGTACACCAAACGGAACACAAAACCATCAAACCAAAATGTGCCCAAACTGAACACAAAACCAGCAAACCCACAACAGCAAAGATCACCAAACTGAACACAAAACCAGCAAACCAACATGTGCCCAAACCGAACACAAACCCAATAAACCCCTCAACAGCAAGTACACCAAAAATAGCCAACCAACAACATCAGGCTACAAAACCAGCCAACCACATAGAGGCAACATGTGCCAACAAATAGCCGAGTAGAAAAAAAATCAAGAAAAACAGCATATGCACACCAAACTGAACACAAACAGATTGTAATGGTCACAAACCAACCAGAGCTGCCAAACTGAGTATGGTTGAAGGCTCAGAATTTGGTCAAAATCATCATTGTTAGCCATCCAGTACAATATCAATAGATATTGCAGGTTGCTAATCTCGGAAAATTTGACAATCATCATAGCCTAAATTGATGCAAACCAAAATCAACACAAACAGATAATAATGATCACAAAGCAAATTGACAATAGCATACGCACAACATGGCTCACAACCAGGCCACACAACCAGCCACAAAATGGCTACACAAAACCTGATGTGGCGCACAACACTTACACAGCATGGCTCACAACCAGTCTACAAAACCAGCAAACCAACCTGGCTAACAACCAACATACACAAAATAACCAAACTGATCACGAAACCAGCAAACCCACAACAGCTCGCTCGCTCGACAATTCTTTTAAACCGAACTGATTATGCTATTAAATGCATTTCCCTATATCTGTGCAATGCAATTGGATGAGGTGATGCATTTAAACCTGTGCCCAAACTAAACACAAAACCAGCAAACCCACAACAGCAAGTACACCAAACGAAACACAAAACCATCAAACCAACATGTGCCCAAACTGAACACAAAACTAGCAAACCCACAACAGCAAAGATCACCAAACTGAGCACAAAACCAGTAAACCAACCTGTGCCCAAACAGAACACAAAACTAGCAAACCCCTCAACAGCAAGTATACCAAAAATAGCCAACCAACAACATCAGGCTACACAACCAGCCAACCACATAGAGGCAACATGTGCCCACAAATAACTGAGCAGGAAAAAATCAAGAAAAAACAGCATATGCACATCAAAACTGAACACAAACAGATTGTAATGGTCACAAAGCCAACCAGAGCTGCCAAACTGATTATGGTTGAAGGCTCAGAATTTGGTCAAAATCATCATTGTTAGCCATCTAGTACAATATCAATAGATATTACAGGTTGCTAATCTTAGAAAATTTGACAATATCATAGCCTAAATTGATGCAAACCAAACTGAATAGGGCTGAGGGCTCATAATATGGTCAATATTATTATTGTTAGCCATCCAGTACAATATCAATAGATATTACAGGTTGCTAATCTCAGATATTATGACAATAATCATAACCTAAAAGTAAAAAAATCACCAACGTAAACTCGTGTCATGAAAACTTACTACACAAAATACCCAGAGCAATAACCGTCCAGTACAATGTGTGCACATTATAGGTTGCTTGCATCTTAAAAAATTATATGGTGACTTATAAATATCCTGCAGTCACAAGTTTAATTTAAAGGTTAGTACACCATAATATTCATACTATGAAAGATAATATTAAAAAATGAAAGCAAATAACTACTTACTACAATATAAATATATATCATACAGTTCGACAACCACAAAACTAAACATCATTTTAAAAAAGTATTGTCTCTAAACCAAAAGATATTAGCCTTCAACCATAATTAAAAAAGTTTTTAAACATAAATGTGCTTAAGTGAGAATCATAAACTACCACACACACCCATGATCTATGTCTTCAATCCTCTTTGTTGAGAAATGTCTCTATCATCTCCTTCTGACCATCCGAAGATATGCCCATAAATAGTCTAGATTCATGCTCATTCATAAAGAGGTGACGGTAGTATGTATCTAACTTAGCAACACTAAAGTCATGTGAATGAGCATATAGGACCGTGGATAACTTCTCGGTCCAATGCATATTCACACACTTCATGTTTGTGCTAAATACATCTACCTTATCCACCATTTTTAGCATGATCTCACTATCTAGGTTGGTCTTACGAGCCTTTACCTTGGCGGAGGATGACTTAGCTTTATAACTTGATGTTTTGGGTGCTTCCTTAGGCGGAGGAGTGTCCTCGTCATCTAAAATGTGTACTTGAGTGGATTGGAGAGAATGCAATGGTGAGTTCACATCATCTCCAAGGTTTATGGTCTCACTACAGCTAAACTTTTTCCAAGCATCATTAGCAAATTGACTTGTAGCTTGATCATCACCGATGATAAGGGCGAGATCATCATAATGCCTCAATGGTTTATTGACATATTGTCTAAGCTTTGCATTCTTAAATCTCTTGTCCTAAAAAAGTATAATTTAATTAATTAGAAAATTTTCTTAAAAATGAAAAATAAATCTATTCTTTAACTAGGCTTTATTTATCTCAACCCACCTATCCAAACATTCAGGATCCATAATGACAGTCTTCGTACTATCATCCCATCCAGCACTACTAAGATTACGACAAGTTTCCATATCACAAAATCTTGTTCGTAGAGTTTTGATGCGGTGCATGACATTATCCCACTTAAAAACTGTGTTGAACTTCTCATTAATGTGTTGAGAATCCATATGAAAAGCGGTTCTCTTAAAGCTTTTGTCAGGTTTGTAACCCTTTCTTACCAAGTCGGCAAGAAATGGAATGAGCTTATCATCATAACGAGAACCCCAAAACAAATGTTTGTTCCCTTAAGAACCACCTACTTCACCATTTTTTTTTGTATATGGAGTTTTTCCTCTTCTTCTTTGGATTTGGTGATGTTTCTACCCCTTCTTCTACGAGGTCCCGTTTGGAACCTGATTCAGGAGTTGATCTATTACCACTAGTATGCGAAAGCTGCACCCCACTCAGATTAGGATTGTGAAATTGTGGAGGAAAAGTGGGTGACTTGAGCATGTTCGAATATGGCCCCATATTATGATGCATTGGAAAGTAGCTGCTATCATGGAATGGCATGTTCGGGTATGCTTGAGGTGGTTATACAAAGTACGACTATTGAAATGGAAAATACCCATCGCCGTGATGCACAGACTGAGGAAGTTGAGGTGGTAGGGAAGGTGAAGGAACGACCCCGTTACCTTTTTGATTATCTCTCCCACTCAATGAAGTATTATCAGCCATTACTAATTAAATAGAAAAAGTTAGATGAAAGAAGTAAAACATGAATAAAAGCATAACGACATTAATGAAATTAGAGTTATTTAGTACATATATGAGCATAAATAGAACAAAAATAAAAATCAAGTCACTGTGGTTACACAATGATTATACATATCACAGTAGTTCACCCACATCGCCCAAACAATGTCATCCCTAAGAGTCTTCCACTCATTTCTTGATTCAGTTTGCTCTCTTTGGGTTTGATTTTGAGTAAAATTAACTAAATTAGTATCACTCTCGAAAGCCACTTCACCATCAATATCTTCATTAAATTCATCATCGTTGAGTAGTTCATCACTTGGATCCACAATTATAATGAAATTATGGAGTATCGTGCATGCCAATACGATATCTACTTGTATAGGAAAAGGATAATACGGCTTAGCACACAAAATCTTAAAACGATTTTTCAATGTGCAAAATGCAGATTCAATCTTAGACCTCAATGAAGAATGTCTTAGATTGAATAATTCTCTTCTATTCTTAGGTGTTTTACCCGAATGTTCTTTCAAATGATATCGAACACCTCGGTATGGAGAGATAAAACCTGGCATGGTTGGGTACCCAGCATCACATATATAGTATTTGCTTACAATTTTATTAAGAAAATTGTTAAGTCAAGTTTGAATAAGGTTTTGCAGTTTCTCCATATAAGGTCTTTTATTGTTGTAAGTCAAAGTTTACTAGACAGATCAGAGCAGAATCTTGAAACAAACTGATGACATAATTTTTTTTGGCGGTCTTCATGGTGCACGTTAGTAGGTGAATCATCCTCTGCTAACTTACACCCCCGCCGAGTTCTCGATGGTTAGGAAGAAGAAGAGCAGCGGTAAACAGATCCTTAGCATTGGACTGAGAGCGACTCCTTGTTCGCAATCCAAAGAGATCAGTTCTTTCGCAAAATTTGTTGGAAATGGTGAAGTTCTTGAATCTGAAGCCATGAGATCAACTGGTCCTAAGGGGGAAAGAATGAAGAAATCTATGGAAGAGATCCTTAGAGCTACAAATCCAAAAGATCAGAAAACTCCTCAATCGTTTGGATGCAGATCTCGTAGTCTCTGTAAGTGCTCTTTCTCTCGTGATGATCTGAGTAGATCCAGTAGATCTTCTTGGGCTGAAGATGAAGTTTTTGAGATTGATTTAGTAGATCAGCATCTTTTCTCAAACTCTAATAAATTGAATGCTATTCAATTGACTCCTACTGTGGATTCTACTGTTTCATTAAATCTTAATGGAAATTTAACTGAAAAGGATGTTGGCCTTCTTGTTTTGATGATGATTTACAAACAATTTACTACTAATGTTGTTTGTCTAGTATTTGTGTTTTCCTATGTATTATAGACAAACAACGTTGTTGGATGTTGGATGGATTGAGCCTACACGTTCATATCAAGAGGAGGTTGGCGGAATAGTGGAGTGAAGCAATGCACATTCAAGTCAAGATCCAAGTTCAAGCTTCATCCGCAAGATTACCAAGATAGAGCTTCGTTGAAGATCAAGATTGCTTGGGTAATTTAGTTTAGGAATTTATATTATGTGTGTTAAGTACGTTAAGCTCAATATCTATACACACACATTATGTTGGTTTTCATATATATATATATAGTGATATATATATATATATATATATATATGGTTTTATAGTTTTCGGGCTTATATATGAAAAAATGCATAGAATATCAGTTTTCGGTCGACCGCACCGGTCGACCGACCATTTGAGCTTTCGTCAGCATGCAGCAGAGAGGTGGTCGGTCGACCGGTCCGGTCGACCGAGAGCTTCCTTCGGTCGACCGCACCGGTCGACCGGATAAGTGTTTGCTTGATTTCCTGTTTTCGACCTGGATAACGGTCGACCGAACTTTCCATCGGTCGACCGAATTTTTCCATCGGTCGACCGACGGAATTTTCGGTCGACCGACAATATAGCCGTTGCTTTTTAACGGCTCTTTCTCTGAGCTGTTTGCTGGGGTTTTTGGTCATTTCGTTTTGGGGTTTTTGGCTGAGCTTTGAGTGGGTATATATACCCCATTGCTGATGTCTTTTCAAGTTAGCCAAGAGAGTTTGAAAACAAGTTTAAGAAAGTTTTTAATCAAGGGTTTAAGTTTTGTTTAAAAGAGTTTAAGAGTTTGTTTGAGTTTAGTTTGTGAAGCAAATTTCACAAGAGCAAAGAGGAGATCATCCTTTGGTGTTTGGGCATTCAACTCATCTCTCTCTCACTCTTGATCTATAGAGAAGTTTTCCTTAAACTCAATTCTAGCTATTTATTGTTTTGATCTTAATTTCCATAAGCTAGATTTCTATATTGAGTTTATAGTTGATTTTATTATCTCTTTGTTCACACACAACCTATTGAGCTTATTGTATTTACATTCATAGTATAATTTTGGGTTGTGAGATTAGTGACTTGGAGTTGTGCTTAATTGAGTTCTCACCTTGTTTAGAGAACAAATCATTTGATTTATATTGTGCTTATTGTGAGGATTCACTTGTAATACACTTGTACACCGAGAGAAGTGTGTGGTGAGAGACGGGGTCGAATCCAAGAGGAGTGGCGTCGGTTGACGTGCCTAGGGAGAGGTTGTAACCGAGCACTTGAGGAGGAGGACACGGGCTAGGACCAACACTTAGTGTGTGGGGTGTGATTACATAGTGATTGTATTGTGAGGTGTAAACGTTGTTCGGGTGAACGTAGAAAACCCGGTTGTGATAGTGGAGATCTCCTCGAGGTGAGGAGCGGGGACGTAGGTCGTGGGGACCGAACCTCGTAAACATATCGTTTTGTTTGTGATTGTATTGGCGTTCTTATTCTTCTTTTCATATCTTATATCGCCTTTGTGTATTGCTCATCATATTACCCTATCACTTGTGTAGATTGTTTATTTTACCCTTGTGTTAGTTCATATATCCTTGCTCATATATTTGTAATATCTCATTGATAGGATATATTCATTTGTTCATATTGCTTATTCTAGCTTACGTATCTTGTTGTATTTTATACTTGCTAGGATAACTTGTTAATTAATCTTATTTGGCATTTTATCGGATTAGATTAGCATAAGACCCTAATCCCCCCCCCTCTAGGGTCTAACAAAGGATACTTGTGTTGATTCTGATTTCCCTCCTCTTTCAAATGCTAAACCTGCTAATGAGACGGTGAATCTTGAGAAAAAAAGTTGGATCAGTTTTTTTGCCGAAATAGGAAAACTGGAAATGACATGGTCTTGGATTTCATTCCTCCTAAGTCTAAGAATTCAATGATCTTTGAGAAGGAAGAATGGCAAGAAGGTGAATCCATGTGGAAACTTTTACTTATTGGACATGTTATGGGTCTCAATGCTAAATTTAAATCCATGGAGACCTTTGTTAAGAAAGCATGGTCTCCATCGGCCAATACTGAGGTTTTCCTTCTTAAATCAGGGTTATATCTGTTCAAATTCAACAATAAAGAAGAGATCAGTGAAATAATTGAAAATGACCCTTGGTTTTTTGGGTCAAGGCCTCTCTTACTAAAACATTGGTCAAATGAAGAAGAGATAGAGAAGAATTTTGATAATGTCTATCCTATGTGTATACAACTGTCAAGCTTAAACTCAATTTGTGGAATGCTAAGTGCATAAGCAAAATAGCTAGTGTCATTGGTAGACCAGTAACTACAGATAAACTCACTAGCCAATAGGCAAAGACTAGCCAATAGGCAAAACATTGGTCAAATTGAATTATGTCATCAGTTTGTTTCAAGATTCTGCTCTGATCTGTCTAGTAAACTTTGACTTACAACAATAAAAGACCTTATATAGACAAACTGCAAAACCTTATTCATTAGCCCTTCAGTTCACCTAGTATTCATTTAATGATAAAACTCAACCTCGCCGTGACAAATCTCTAACCTTATCAACTTACATATAAGTTATAAATAATCAAAGATGCGGTCCTGACAATCATGACCTTAGCTTTGATTCTCAAGCGACCTTGAAATTTAACATTGTTGTATTGAATCCAGACAGATCCTCAGCACAGAAACTTCGCCCGACGATAGGTTGACCTACCTGCCATTCATATGGTCTACCTGCATTTGCTGTGCGCTTGTGCGACTCCTCCCCATGAACTACACCTTTCCACAAGTCTAATATCATCATCTCCTGCATTGTTTGCCTCACATTGACTGGAGAATCACCTGTACTACACCTCTCTACAATTCTGAATACATCAATTTCCTACACCACTTGACTGGAACCTGAAAGAAAAGCCATCTATTCTACACCTTCCCACGATATGAATGAAGCCAGCCTCCACGCGCATCATTCACCCACGTCTAGCTAAAAGCATCGGAATGCGGCTTCCCACCAAAAATAAGGTGCAGTCAAAAGACAGGCTACTCCATAAATCCTAGAAGATATTCCACGTCTGGCATTTTCTCTATCTTGCAACAGTCTCCAACATTGCCGTCAACATCTTTGCACTTTTTGCACGACAGTATGTACAATAGATATGTAATCTTGCAACGACTCGAATATACTCATTGTGACCAACGCAGTAATACAATTTAAGTAAAAACTATTTTATCATTTTCATACCGCCATATACAAGTTACACGCCACTCTCTTTACAGTTAAAAGACCTTCCACTATAGCCACTATAACCTATAAAGTGAACTATGTAATACCGTATCAACTTTCCATGAAAAAAACCTGGAAGGCGTCATCTTGCATCATTCGATCATCAGCTAGAACCAGTTCAAATATCTGTAGGAAGGACCATTCCTCGACGAAACCATAGACAACCAAGCTACAAGCAAACCGATAAAATACTCATGAAGACGAACACGAGGATTCAAAAGATGAAAGTCTTGGCCTCTTGTTAGCAAGAGAGGCCCTCGGCACATACTCAGGTGAAGTCACCTTATCAAGAACAGACTTCAAAGACTGTTGAACATTGTTTATAAAGATATGATTCTCCATATCACTAGGATTTCCATCACAAGTTATCACAAAAGCAATTTTGATTCTGCCACCCGAAGTGCAGATCTCAGCTTGTACAGTCTTCAGATGTAGATAGTGAAGAGTTTGTCTAACATCTGCAAGGAGATCTGGCCGGTCCTCGCAACTGAGTGATGCCTTAATTAAAAAGCTTTCGGTTTTAGTTCCATCTCTGTTAACTTCTACTCTCACTTCATCAGCATCGGATGGGATGGAAAGACCTTTGCTCATCTCTGTTGCGTTGCTCTTCAATTTATTTACGTGCGTGATTACTTCGGCAAGCAATGCAGCTTTGTCCAACTGCAACAAAACAGCTAAATTAGCCACACTAAATATTCTTTTTCTTTGAAACTACGAAGGTTACAGTTAAGCATTGATTTAAGAGGATTGTTCAAATCACTCTAATGGACAAGGTAACAAGCAGCAAAGTAACATACAAGATGAACAAGAAATTGAAAGAAAATCAATGTGTACTTGGACCAATAGCATAACATGTATGCATAAGGTAGTAGGGAACAGACAGAAAACAAGAGATGTTATTTTAGGTACGATAAATGCCCATATAACTAGCAGTGAGCAAAAATATACAAACAGAATGCCAACATATCAAAGTTAGAGCATATTATCATCTAATAGTATCTAAGTAGCGTGGAAACGGATATCGTTACAGTTACAGGACATGGAAAATTTGTAAAAGGTATGGTACAGGATCATGGCTATGTCAATATTTATATACACATATTATATATTAAAATTAATATTTTACATGAGATCAACATTTTTCTCCTTCACATCTTATCAGAATAAAAATTTCTATAATATTTTTATGTTTCTTATATTATGTAGATTATAAATTGGAAAATTATAATTTTTAAACTAGACACGCAAACAATGCTTTAAAATAATAGTTCGAAACTCTACCTATATCCAAAGTGTTTTAGGAATTAGGAAGTGGATGTGTAGGATATGCGTCCAAAAAGTGTGTGAGAAGTGTTTTAACTTAAAACATATATTGCATAAGTGAATACATGCCCCAATAAATGAATTCATATATGCCAGGAGTGTTAGGAGTATGAGTACGGATATGGTACAGGTATATGTAGGGTATGGGTACAACTTTAGTTAGGAGCACAAACAACAAACAGGTCTCCTGTGTGACTGCTGCTTCCTGCTCTGTAATGTCATGCTCAGCCACTACCATTTACATCAATTTCTTAATTGTAAATAGATGCTACTAATAATTATACTTCAATTAGGGAAACAATAAGGATACAAATAAATAATAAACTAAAGGATGAATGACACATAACCCTCTCCTCTATCTCCAGTTACAATTAGTTCCCTCAGCTCATTTTCCCCTCTCAATTCTTGAAGGGAACAGGTCTAATGTGCAACTTATTTTTATAAATGAAATTAGATAAGTGAAACATCCACTTGGGCAAATTATCTCAAGAATATAATTTTAGATTTGCTTAGACATACTTTTAAGTGTGCAAATAGTAGACATAAATATTTAATATTTATAATGTTTTATTAGTATGATTGGAAACAGAACAATAATATAATTTTAAGAATCTCCAATAAAAAGATAAGAATACAAAGATATATACAAAGATCACACTGCACATAACCCTCTCACCTATACTTCTTGTTGCACTTAACCTCAATAGATCATTTTAGCCCCTCGGTCAAAGGGTGCAACTTGCAGTTTATCTTTCTCAGTTGAAATTAGATAAATGAAACATCTACTTAGATAAATTATCTCTAGAATATTTTTTAAGGAAAAAATAGGACAAGATGCCCTACTCAGACTTTAGAATATTATTTGAGATTTATTCATGTATGCCATATGTGTATATAGATACATATATATGTGTATATATATATGGATATATATAGTCACTGTAAGTGTAACTTCTATATATTAACATCTGTAAATTAAACTTCTGGATATATAACACTTTTTTGAATAAACATCAAAAATGGAGCTGGCACGTGCCTTGCTCGTGCCCTCCTCACTAGTGTGTGTGCGCATGCGCGCGCATGTGTGTTGCTACCAAGCTCTACAAATCCTTCTAAAGTCAATCTGGATCATGATCTGAGTAAGTGCGCACCAGAAGAACATACAGACACTAACAGAATGTCACAACCCCGACCAGCAAGCCCACTGGCGCATTGTAGCTCTGAGATCCACTAAGTGCAAACGTGGTTTGGCATAATACACTGCCAAAAATGGGTAGCGAATGTTACACTTGAATCTCAAGACACATCATTTCTATTAGTTACTCAATGTGGGACTAAGTTCGCGGACATTAGAAACACTTAGATCCACATTTCTTGCTGACTATCTGAAACCATTTGTCATGGCATGGGCCAGCAAGCCTATTGACATGGTGTAGCCTTGAGATCCACTAAGTGCAACACTTAGTGTGGCTAATCCACTTCCAAAAATAGTTAGCCAATGCTACATTTGAATCTCAAGACACATCCTTTCTCTTAATTATGTGAGACTAAGTTTGAGGGGCATAGCATGCAAAATTAAAGCAGATCTTTAGCCACTTGAATTTCAGCAGCCTTAAGATATGGAAGGTACTAGTGAGATTAATGACGATTAATCAGGGAAAGATTCAAAAGTCCTCAAATTATATGTACTACAAGCTCACTTTACACTGCCTAGCTTGATGTAACTGTAATATGGCCCACTGGAGATAAGGTGACTGATTGATTGACTAATGGAATTGAAGCACTTTAACCAAAATGGCCAACCATTTGATTCTTGGTCCAAACATAATTTAGTAATGTATCCATCTTAACTTTATGTGACTAGACCGACTTCATATTGCTCATCTTGAACGCTTTAAAGAATGAAAGATCCTAAACTCAACAAAATCATAGAAGAACCAAAAACATGGTAGAATTAGAATCTTCCAGCTCTAAACTAAATGAACGAGACTTAAAAATATTTTAGACATAAAAACATAACAGAAGGCAGTAAAGTGGACTATGTTGGTGTAAGGTCTTACCAACTGTAGTGGTGACCTAGTAAATAAATCAAGAAGAACCCAAGAAATTCCAGCATGTGATAGCATAAGCAAATAAGGCTGAACTGGACATGCATGTTCTGAACATCCACTACACGTCTACACCACAACATAGATTGGGAGTAAATTGCAGGGCTTTGAAAAACATTATAAGAAATGATAGATAAAGATACTAGTACCATTAATTATTCAGTAAAATCACACTAAGAAACTGGACCTTTGTAGGAACCAACAAGTTTGTCATGACCAAATGAACCCCATCCCACAATATTAATATAGATTGCAAATACCATTTGATGAGAAAAAGGAAAGGAATACATGAAAATTTTGAAGATCTAATGACACCTCTAACGAAAACAAGGCCGAAAGAAGAAAGATATCCAGAAATCATACACATAATACTAATAGAAACAAACAAAATCGATGTATACCAAAAGCGAAACATAGGTTGAACTCCATTACTGAAGGATAAATCTGCAAGATGCCATAAATAATCAACAACTTGCAGTTAGAAGTCTCCATTATAATTCTACTAAAACACAAGCAGTTACGGACCTTGGTTGCTCTAATACCACGTCAAAGGTCCCTTCAAACTTCATCAAAACTCTGAAGTTGTGGTGATGATTGAGGTTTATAATTTTATACTCTAACATGACTCCATAGGTCAAGGGGTCGTTTCAAGGGCCGAAATCTAGACTCGCAGAGCAGTATCTCTTTTCTTCATCCACTTTAGAAATTCATTGTCAGTAAGAATTGGTTTGGGTAGCTTTGGTACCATGTCAAAGGTCCTCACCAGTACAACAAAATTATGAAGTTTTGGTGTGGTGGAAGGATCCTTTGACAGAAGTCTCCACCATAATTCTACCAACACTTGAAAAAGTTCACTGAATTTTAAGCCTGAAATTCCTGCACATGAGCTTGCAGACGAGTAGAAGTCAGCACTTAGATATCCATAGATAATAAGCACCCCCTTGTCTATCTAACAAACATCATATATCAATACCTCTCTCTTTCATATATGTGAGATCCCAAAAGAGAGTGTTCCTCTTCGCATAACGTTTCTGGGACACCAAAGAAAATTATACATGCTCCATATTTTCCTTCAATGGAAAAAAGGAAGAAATGCCAAAAAAACATGGGCCAACACCCAACTCATACAACAAACAAGGGGGCAAAAAAAAATAATCCTAGGTCCACAAGAAAATTAAAAAAGAACCCAAACCAGCAACAATTCAACATGTAAAGAAAACAAACATGCAAACAAGAATCAGGTACCCAACAACAACGAGGGAGAAAGGAGAAAGAGGCACAACCTTATCAGTACAAGGGACCATGCTCCTCAACATCGCGAGATGACCATTAATCCTCTCCCTCCTCCTCCTCTCGGCCTCGCTATGCATCTTAAGCGCCATGGCCGCCTTCTCATCACAACCCCCTCTTCCTACTCCTCCTCCTCCTCCTCCTTTCCTCCCGTTTTTCACCAAATTAGCCCTCACCAACTCCCCCTTCTCCTCGTCAAGAACCAACGAGCTCGCCGAACTGGGTCCCTCCCCAAACCCTCTCAAACCCCTCAAACTATCCCCAACTGGGACCGAACCCATGTCTTAAAAGAAGCCCAAGAAGGCAAAGACTATGTTGAATTTGTTTGAATCGAAAAAGCTAGCGCGCAAAAGAGAAATGAAGCTGAATTTGTTTTCAAGAACCAGGAGGACGGCCGGCGGGTGAAGACCAAAAGAGTCTAGCGCCACGGAGAGTTCTCTGTCCACCTTCCACTTGATTGCTGAGGACGAAGGGAAATGGTTCCATTACTTGAGAGAGATGCGAAGGGGTTTTGGGGAATGAGATTATGGGTCTCATTTTATTCTCTGTTTGATGAACTCTATCATCTTTTTAAAAAAACAAACGCTCAAATTTTGAGAGGCGATATTTGGAATCTTAGAATCTCTTGCGGCACGAGGGAGGAATATTTGGGGGACGGGGGAGGATTCTGAATGCAGGAGGCGCTTGAGAAGCGTGAGGGGAGATGAGAGGGGGTTTTAAGCGAAGGGGGCTGAAACTTCGAGAGGATTAATTAATTAATTTAAGGGTTTTTTTTTTTAAGTTTTATAATGGAGCGGATAAAGAAGAAAGGAGATACTTTGATTAGTTTAATTAGTGGTGCTAATTCGTGAGGTGGTATTTTAATGTCGTTAAAAAAAGGATGAGTGAGGGTGAGAAATTTGAGGTAATACATCTTTAGAAGAGAATAATGCACATCTTCCTCATATGAGTATATTATTATATTTGTCATACGAGAATGATGTATATCACTGACAATGGTGTGGTTCAATTTTAATCAAATGAATGAAAAAGGAGAGAGTGAAAATTCACAATTACACTTGATTGAAATTGAAAATCACCGTGTGAGAGCCTCTCCAATAGGAAATATGATACTCGTTATCGTCGTATGAAAAAAAAAAAAACTCTTCCATTGCAACGAATTACATGAAATTATGAGAATTGTTAAAGATATGTTCCTAAGTAGGGGTGTCAAACCGTATCCGTATCCGAGGAATTATCCGTAACCGTATCCGTTAGGATACGAATATGGTTACTCAAATCTATTACCGATAGGATATGGTTGCGAATATGGTTTTGTAGTGAAATATCCGTATCCGAAAATATCCGAATACATATTGGTAATACTCTTACGATAGTTTCGATTCTTAGATTATGGATTTGTGGTTAATTTTGATGATCAAGGTGTCCAATCTAAGCTTTTCAATCATAATGAACATATTAACGAACTCATTTTGTATCACATGACTATATTTTTCTGAATACTATCTAGTTTTCTCATATCCTTTTTGTATCCGCATGCATATCCGTTTATATATCTGCATCTATATCCGTAACCGTATCCGATTTTGGCGGATATGGATATTAATTTTTCTTACCGACATATATCCGTATCCGTATCCGTATCCGAGATGGGTAAGCGGATATGGATATGGTAAGTGCTATATCCGAACCGTATCCGCTCCGTTAACACCCCTAATCCTAAGCCCAAATCAGCTAACAAAAGGCACAAGGTATCACCATTTGAAGCTCATACCCTCTCCAATCATTGTTTAGCACATGACCCTACTATCTAAACAGAGTCTAATGAGAGATCCTCTGCATCAATGTAATTAACTACTTTTCTCTTGATGAGCCATCAGCCATTATACAATGGAGGCATGGGTGACTGACTATTTCCGTTCCACTGGATGCCCGATGGTCTAAAAAAAATGAGGGTCTACGAAAAGAAATCATTGATTAGTTCTAAAATTCTTTCAAAACAGGCTAATAGGTGTCCAATGAGAAGAGTCCACTGCATAGTTTTTCCTTAATTCATAGCTAATATCTACCTCTTCACAACACGACGTCTTGTTTTGCCGACAAAAAATTGTCAACTTATTACGTATTTATGTTGGCCATTAGCTTCATGATCAACCAGTAGCATTAACTTTAAGAGCTTTGCTACGGGGACCCAGAATATGGGACTAATAAGAGGGACAAGTGAGGTGTCCCCCTCCTGTTGGATAATGAGTTGGTCATCATTAATGATGGCCAACTCATTATCCAATAGGAGGGGGACACCTCACTTGTCCCTTCTATTGGTCCCATATTTTGGGTCATTGAGGAATTTTTCTAACTTTAAATGCTTCTTCTAAAAATTTTAATTTAAAAAAAACCCTTTAAATGCTTCTCCTCTTTATTCAAGGGTGACACTACAGGCACACCCCCAACCACACATTGGGACACACCCCTCTCTCAGCTACAGTGCACGGGGCCCATTTTAGATTTTTAAAAAAATCTAAAATGGGCCCCATGCAATGTAGCTGAGAGAGGGGGTGTGCCCCAACTCCCAAGGTATGGTTGGAGGTGTGCCTGTAGTGTTTACCTTTATTCAAACAAAGATATAAAATATATAATGATCTCAGAAAAGTAGTAGGCTACAAAGTACAACCCCCGGGTATCGTTAAAAAAAACTTTCCTATAAAATATAAATATATTGGACCAAAATAGTACACCAAATAAATATTACCATTTAATACATTTAATAACCAAAAGGCAATGATACAGTGATTTGATAAGTTGTATATTTGTATATCAGAAAAAGAGAAGCAATGTACAATAGGCTGACGTGGATTTTTATTTAAAATTCATTTCATTGAATTAGACAAATATAACGTACAAATATCGATTGACCCATAGATACTCTCAACCCTCTCAACTCTGAAGACGTGGGGTTAATTAATTGCAGCCCTTCAAATGTCTAGCCTTCCATTACCTTGGAAAGACCTCAACTATTCCCTAGCTTGTTTATAGAAGAAGAAAGGGTGTTGGTTACTGTTTCCATTGGCTATAATGCACGAAGGTCATCTCCTAATGATGCATCATCTTAACCTTCCCCATTTTCTCATGTCACCATCTCACCATCTTAACCCTCTCACATCAAGCTTGACAATTTATTATACGATTAAATTTTCTAAACAAACTCAATCACATTTTTTTTTAAATCGACCCTCTTAAGCTTTTTTTTTTTACAAAAATCGATTTTTAATCCGGTTCCTAAATAGTCGGGGTTGTCAACCTCGACTATTTAGTGCATAGAATGTTAGGGTTTAAAGTTGTAATTGAGGTTTTACAATTTTCTAAATAGTCGAGGTTGAAAAATCCGACTATTTAGGAACCGAATTAAAAAAAATCGACCCACTTTCTCGTCACGATGCTGACGTGGTGAGTGAGAAAGTAGGTTGATTTTTGTAAAAAAAAATCAAGGGAGTCAATTTTTTTAAAAAAATATGAATGGTGTAGAATTGGCAACACACTTGAAAAGTTCAGGAAAACAGGTGCAGAAAACTATTTGGAAGCCTGTCGGTCGACCGCGAGACGGCTGCGATCGATCGGAAACGTGCACAGGTCGAAGGTGGATTCTGGAGTTGGAGACGGTCGACCGTCACGATCGACCGCCAGGGACCCTGTAAGATTCTGGGTCTCTGGAATTAGTGACGGCGGTCGGTCGCCAAACCTAGTAGTCAATTTATGTTTCTGTCGATTCCTGGGCGGTCGACCGCGACGAATTCGGCGGTCGAGCGCTAGTCGGGTCTGAGTCTGGGTTATGTTTTCTGACCCGTTTCGTTTTGTGTTGATATATAACCTTAATCACGATTATTAGGGTTAATTAAGGACGACTTTGAGCAGCTTTTGAGAGAAAATTATGCATCCTTTGAGGGAGAATTTGTGAGAGATTTTGAGAGCTTTGTTTGAGGGTTTTTGGTGAGATGAGGGAGAATTTGTGAGAGATTTTGAGAGCTTTGTTTGAGGGTTTTTGGTGAGATTGTAAACCCTATTTGTATTCTCTTTATCGCTTTGTTTGAGGGTTTTTGGTGAGATTGTAAACCCTATTTGTATTCTCTTTATCTCTAATAGTAAAAAACTCCCCCCTCCTTGCCCCGTGAACGTAGACAACTTACCGAACCACGTAAAATTCATTTGTCTTGTTGTGGTTTGTGTTTATTCGTTTGGTTGTGGTCTATCTCGTTCTTATTTGTGCTCTTTCGTGTGTTTTGAGTTCCGCTGCGCACAACAAATAGGTTTATTTAGAAAAATTTCTTCATTTATTATACAACATAACGTTGGTTCGGTGGGGGGCAATGAGCTTCCGCTCGCAATTCACCAATTGGCATTTGCGTATTAGAAAATATAGGGAAAATTCAGTAGGAGTACATCTTCATCCCTATTTCTTTTTTCTTTCTTTTGGTAGACTTTAGAAGTATAATTTTTTTTATGAACACCAACTCAGAAGCTGAGGTATGGCTTTCGAAACAAACATGATGTGTACAGCTCCTGTCTACATTCATTTGATTAAAGATATATGATGAGGGTATTTTAAAATAAAGGTTCCAAAAGTCCAATATCCACGTTCATAGCTAGGGTAGAGATTATCCTAGATGGAAACAAATTAAGCACGAGTATCATAAATATAGCCTTATACGGGACATATATTTGAGCATCATAATTCGGGGATCTTTGTCTCTATGAATTAAGAAAGGCGAAGTCAACCAACTCGGAAGATTAGGAAAGTGTCGAACCAAAAGTTGATGATTATATATACATTAACAAGTTTAGATGAAAAGTCCTGTCCGATTACCTAATCATAGAATCAATTTTGATGATGTAAATTATAATTGAAAGCATCCATAGGTTTATGGAACTTTTTTTTTATGAGCAACGGCAAGGATGCTCAAAATTCCATCAAAACTATGTATTAATCTTGATGGGTCTGTTAAGAATAGCTCGTCAGCGATTGCGCCCATCGGAGATGTTCATGTTCTTTACCGGCGGTATTGGGAATTATTTTACTTATTTAGTCATTTTTTATATATATATATATATATATATATATATATATAATATATATATATATATATAGTATATAATATCAGAGAGCAGAGAGAGATGAGACGAGATGGATGAGAGGAGAGAGAAGAGAGAGAAGAAAACGGGAGGTGGTGGCAGCGTAGGAAAATTTCCTACCCTGCAGGTATGATATGTGAGCCTTCCTACTAGTACTGGTATTAGGCTCACATGCTATACACCGCCCCAAGCGATCAGAAATTTGCGTCGCTGCCAGCCTCACCTTCCTGTTTCTTTATATTATATTATATTATATTACTATATATATAATATAGATATATAATATATATATATATATATATATATATATATATATATATATATATATATATATATGGGAGAAGTGTTCCTAAGGTGACGCCTTAGATAATCGTCTAAGGACGCGGTCTAAAATCACATGATTGAGCTACATTGTGAATGATCCGCTCTGTTGAACTTGATCTACATATTCTAAAACTCCAACACACTAAGCTTGGGGTGAATCGTCGTCGTTTGACCATTCATCCACTCGTATCAATTTTAATGGTTTCGAATGAATAGAACATTTTGCATGGCTCGACGGAGGGTCAAACGACGATGGGTTCACCCCAAGCTTAGTGT